AGGGAGATACATATTGTATGCACATTTCTCCCCCTGTCTGGACACACAAACAGGTGGCAAGGCCTTGGGGACGTAAGTCCTTCCCGTTGATCTAGCAGGTGCAGCCTCCCTCGCCCCGTTAAGCCCACTTGCTGCTGAAGAGTTCTGCTCAAAGCCCCCCAATTAATTCTAAGGAGGCTTAATTATACGTGTAAGGCACAGACCTAATTATATGTATATAGACTGAGAGACAGAAGAGACACTTATGTGATTAGCATAGACTGATTTTCACGATCTCTAGGGAGGAAAACAGCGCTAGGAAGATGTAATTAGAAAACATTTAGAAACTAGGCATTTGACAGTATCCTAACCAAACAATCAGCCCTTTTCTGAACCTGCCCAGCTTGGAGAGTTACGGTTTGGATCGAGAATGTCTCCCCAAAGCCTCATGCACCCTGGGGTGGAGCTCTTAAAAGGTACTTTGACTATGGGGACTCTGTACTCACCCATGGATTAAGTATATTGTTGGAGGTGTGGCCTGGTTAGAAAAGGCAGGTCACGGGGGCTGTGACCTGGAAGGAGTATCTCCCTTCCGGTTCCTCCCTTCTCTGTCAGCTTCCTGGCTGCCATGACACAAGCAATTGCCTCCACCACCTGGAGCCTTGCACTACGCCGTTCCTGTGTTTCAGCCTGCTGAACATGGACTCAAACTTCTGAAACTGTGAGCCAAAATAACCCTCTCCTTCTTTAAGGAAGGAGATGTTTTGTACCAGCAACGAGAAAGTGACTAAGAGAGTAGCTTCAGGCACACTTGGGGTCAGAAATTCAAGATCCTGTGAGATTCATGTCCTTGTGCCCACCCCTATAGCATAGACCTTTGTAGAAAAGGCCAAGAATTTACCAGCCACTCCATTCCTAGGAGCCTTTTTCCTTCAGCCTCCTAAAGCTGCCTGAGCATAAGCGACATAAAGAGCAATGGCAGCAAGTTGTGGTTGTGCGTGCTTGTTATCCTAGCACTCTGGGAGGCTGAGTCAGGAGAACTGCAAAGTCAATCCTAGTCTAGGCAATTTAGCAACTTAGCAAGACCCTGTCTCAAAATT